TTGTTGGGCCGAAGGGCCTGTTTCCACACTGTAGGGATTCTAATTCTAATTCTATGTAATATGTTTACCTAAGGTAACACTTTCAAACCTCACTATTGTTTGCTGTGTGTCCTGATGAAGGAAGCATGTCTCATTTCTTCGTTTTATCAATAATTTAGACCAAAATTAATACTTCCAGGTAGAATAGAGTGACCACGAGTTACAAATTTTAAGTTGATGAAAAGTAACTTTGGAACAGATATTGATAAGGACTACTTTATTTAACTTAATAATTAGAATAATCTTCAAGACAAGGCTATAAGAGAAAAGCTTTAGAATTGTTCAAACTACCCGGAATAAAAATGTGTTATGAATTAACTTTGGGAAGAATAGCCTCTTCTTGTTCACTCCTGAGAGAGTTATACAAGGCTACAATGTATTTATGGTCTGGATGTTAATGTTATATTAATTGTATTGTTAAGGTTGAGAATAAAGAGGCATAGAGTATTTATTGATCCAGTAGCTCGGGCAGATGAACAAAAAGGACTTTGTCTGAGGAATAGAGATGTAATTGATGTTGTGTGGCAATTGTATAGAGCTCTGGTGAGACTGCCCCTGGATTACTGTGAACTGTTTTTGGTTCCCTTACCTAAAGAAGGTAATACTTGCCAATGAGGGAGAGCAAAAAAATGTTCATCAGTCTAATTCCTGGGCTGGCTGTCCAATCAGAAGAGATTAAGGAGTCCGGGCCTGTATTATTTGGAGTTGGAAGAATGAGAGATGATCTTGTTGGAACTTACAAAATTCCTAAAGGGCTGGTCCGGGTAAGTTGCAAGAAAGATGTTTTTCCTGGCTGGGTAGGGGTGAGGATTGGTCTAGGACCGTCAACTAGAATAAGATATTGGCCAATTAGGGCTGAGGTGAGGAGGAATTTCTTCATTTGGAGGGTGATGATTTTTTAAAATTCTCTACTCCAAAGTAGTGTGAAAACTCAACAATCGGTTATATTCATGAACCGGATTGATAGACTTCCAGATGTAAAAGCCATCTAAGAATATGGGGATAGTGCAGGAACATGTGGCTGAGACAGAAGGAGATCAGTTGTGATCTTATTGAATGGCAGAGTGGACCAGAAGGACCGAATGGCCTACTCCTGCTCCATTTTCCATTCGTGCTAATTTGCTTGTGCACCTTTAAGGGGTGATTCATTAGTTTATTTCTAAAATAAAACAAAGAACTACGGGATGCTGGAGGTCTGAAACAAAATTATAAATTGCTGGTGAAACTCAGTAGAATCATAGAATCCCTCCAGCGTGGAAACAGGCCCTTCGGCCCAACAAGTCCACATTGGCCCTCACAGCATCCCACCCAGACCCATCAACTAATCTACGCATTCCTGAACACTACGGGCAATTTAGCATGGCCAATTTGCCTAGCTTGCACATCTTTGGACTGTGAGAGGAAACCGGAGCACCTGGAGGAAACCCACGCAGACACAGGGAGAATGTGCTAACTCCACACAGACTGTCGCCCGAGGGTGGGATTGAACCCGGGTCCCTGGCGTTGTGAGGCGGCAGTGCTAGCCACTGTGCCGCCCCTAAGGTCTGGCAGTATCTGCTAGGAGAGAGCAGGGTTAATGCTTCGAGTCCGGTGACCCTTCAACAGAACTGATGCAGAAGGGTCATTCGGAACATTCTGAAGAAGGGTCGCTGGACTCGAAATGTTGACTCTGCTTTCATCCCACGGATGCTGCTAAACCTGCTGAGTTTCTCCAGCAATTTCTGTTTTTGTTCCATTTGGTTTATTTGATGTACTGATGAGTGTGAAAAGAAACACTGGGAGTTGGTAAGTAGGACTTCCATGTTAATCTGCACCATTATCTGTTGAGCAAAGATTGGTCAGGCTGCATCTCTGTCCATTGGAGTTTATAAGAACGTGAGGTGATCTTACTGAAACATATAAGATCCTGACGGGATTTGACAGGGTGGATGCTGAAAGGATGCCTTCTGTTGTTGAACAGATTAGAATATAGTGGCATAGTTTAAAAATAAGGGACGTCCAATTCAAGTTGGAAGCAAGGGGAATTTTTTTCTGAGTTATTAGTCTGAGGAGCTCTCCACCTGAAACAACGATGAAGGCAAGGTCGTTGAATATTTTTGAGGAAAAGTCAGGTTCTTGATTACCAGGGGAGTCGAAGGGTATCAGAGTATGCAAGAAAATGGAGTTTTAGGCTACAGTGAGGTCAGTCATGATCTCATCAAACGATGGAGTAGATTCAAGGCGTCAGAAAGACCACTCTTGCTCCTAATTCAGTGTGTATGTAAATCTGTGAGTTACGATCAGAATTAGATAGGGAATTGGTAAACAGTTGTTACGTCAGTAAATAAGGTACCGTTCGCAATCAAAAACCCTGCAAATTCAGGCCACTATTCATTCACTGGTTAATGCAGCACAAAGACAGACAAGTGACAAAAAAGGCCAATATAATTTGGCCCAAGCTAACTGTAGAATCAGGCATTAGGACCCAATGTGACTCAGTATCTAATGGAGCTAAAGCATGAGCTGGCAGTGCTGTGTGTCACTCACGGAGTGTGGACGTTTCTGGCTAGGCCAGCATTTACTGCCATCCCTAATTGGCTAGAGGGCAATTAAGAGTCAGCCACACTGCTGTGGGTCTGGAGTCACGTGTAGACAAGACCAAGTAAGGGCGACAGATTTCCTTCCCTAAAAGACGTTAATGACCCAGTTGGGCTTTTCCAGCAATTGACAATGGTCACCATTAGACCCTTAATTCCAGATTCTTTTTACAACAAATTCCACCATCTGCCATGGCAGATCCCTGGACCATTTGCTGAGTTTCTGGATTAACAGTCTAGCAATAACATCACTAGGGCCATTGCCTGCTCAAAGCTGGGGACTGAGGTGAAATGAGTTTCATTGCAGAGGCACATCATTCTTTAGTTTGATGAGACCTGAATGCATTGGGATAGCATTTCCTTGCTACTCCCTAATTTCCTACTGTGACCTTGCTGGAGTATCTGTGGAAAGTTAGAGGAAAGTGGCGTTTTCGTCCTTTTTCCAGATTTGCACTGACCCAGCAGACAGGAGAAGAAATTATACAATTAACTTTTAAATGTGTCTTAAGTGCAAAAGACCTATCCTTAATACATCTTCATGCATGTTAATCGTCATGTTCCCGAGTATAAAACTGTCACATTTTTCAGAAACTTTGCATTTTCTTTCAGCTTGAAGGTGGTGAGACTTACCATATCGGCCTGCGGTTTGCACCAGGCCAGAATCCTGGCGTGGAAGAAATCCTGATTTTAATTAACGACCAGGCTGAGAAGAATGAAGCAACTTATTGCGTGCAAATCACTTACCAATAAAATGTATACTGAGTGCCTGATACACTGGCATCTTTGAAGTGAGTGCATTTTGAAAGAGATGTGGATCCCATACCGAACCACCACAGGCTTGCTGGAAGAGAAGAAAGTGTTGAAGCCTGGTGAATGTATGCCAGAGTGTTAATAAAACAGCTCTTGGATAAGACATGACTGCTACTCAGGAAAAGGTGTAAGTTTCACTTTCAACCCCCATATTTGTAACTACTACCTCCCTGACTTGTGCTTTGCTTTGGTTTGGATAGGCTGATTCGTATTATATCATGCACTGCGTTCACAATTAATTTTCAAAATATTTCTCTCCCAAGATCTTAAAATATTGCCACCCCTTTGGCGATCTTAGTGGTTGATAGTTTAGTAGTTCCAAACGTTATCCTTCTCTAAGAACGCTTGCTATTCCTTTCGTCTCATTGGCAATCTACCACCCACATCATTCCACCAGCATTAAATGCATTATCAATGTTTGTATTACCTCAAGATTCTCCTCCTGGCCCCAAGCTCCATATTAAACTAACTCCAATTCACCTACAAATGCATTCAGAATCTCTTGTCTTGCTGTCAGTCCTGTGGCTCATTAGCGGTCCTCATTAACTTACAATGACTGTCAGATTCCAGCACATAATCCTTGAAATCTTCGGCCTCATTTACAATCCCTCCCTGGCCTCACTTCACCTGATCTGTACAGCTTGGTGTCTTAGCGTGGCATCCAGTGCCTTTCAGCTGTGACCCTTGTGTAACATCTGTTGTGACATTTGACAGTGGAGCCAGCTCCTGTATCAATGCAGTTCTGAGGTTCCATCCCAAAATCCCTTGCTTAACACCTTCTGTTCTTATTTTAAAACTCCTCTTCAGAAACATGGTATCCTTAACTTTTCAAATCATTGTTTGTTCTTCACTCTGCAACATGAATCATCTCATCCTGTTTTATCATGTTAGAGTCGTAAATGCAAGCTATCGTCACTTGTCAATGATTTATTTGTACAAAGAGCAGAGAATTCTTGGCTGGAAAGACCCTTAATAACAACTCTTCACTATAGAGTCCTAGAGCTCTACTGCACAGAAAAATGCCCTTCAGCACTTCAAATATGTACTTGTCAAAAACAAGCGCTTAACTATTCTAATCCCATTTCCCAGCATCTGGCCCACAGTCTTGTGAACGTTGGCATTGCAAGTGCCTTTCTAAATAGTTCTTAACAGTTATGAGGGTTTCTGCCTCTACCACCCTTACAGGCAGTGAGTTCCAGATTTCCACCACCCTCTGTGTGGGGGGAAAAAAATCCTTACATCCACTCTAAACCTCCTGCCCTTTGTCTTAAATCTATGCCCCCAGTCATTGATTCCTGTACCAGGAGGGTAAGTTCATTCCTGTCTCCTGTTCCATGCCCCCTCTGTAATTTTATACTCCTCAATTATGTTCCGCTTCAGCCTTCTCTGCACCAAGATAAACAACCCCACTCTGTGCAACGTCTCTTCATACTAAAAACTCTTCAGCCCAGGCAACATCCTGGTAAATCTGCCCTGTGGTTCTGGCCAGTACCCTTCACATTCCCAAAACACAAGCATACAACTTTCCTGCTGGTGCTCTCATCTCTGTGGTTGACATTTTTCATTTAATTGGGAGCTGACCTTATTCCCTCGCGTCAAAGTAAGGTACATGTTCATATTATATTTTGATAGTCTGTCTGGATTCTAACATCACATAAATCAGCAGTCAGTGTGTTAATCTTCGTTTATCTCATTTGACTTCTTGAGAGTAATAGCACAGGAAAGAAATGTTAAGAGCAGCCATTTGATGGGTGCAGCTTTAGCCAGTGTTGATAGAGAAAAAGGGAAGCTTATTTCAGACTGTAGAAAGCAGACCTCGGCCAGTCAAGGTTTCTGCTGGTAAAACAAGTAGCTGAGAAGTCTGGAATCCCCTAATGGAGCATTATGTGTGGCCATTGACCTGATGTACGAGGACTACTGATAGCTTCACTCTGCACGGCTGGGGAGGTCTGTAGCCTTACAGGAACATCCAGACTAACAGGCAATGACTGTACTAACAGTTGACATCCAGACCTACAGATATTATCCAAGCTTGCAGTCAGTTGATCAGGTATCTGTTTGGAAGCACATAAAGGCACAATGTTAATGACATTTTATTTCATACTGAGAAAAGCAATCATGACCCCAAGCATTTATTTTTAACCTTTTGCCAATCTGAGTTTTCTAGGATGAAGAGTCACCTCGTAGTAACACACTGCTGCTAGAAATACAGCAAAGGAAGCCCAGTGCATTTACTGTTTGGATAAGTTAATCCCTCTTGTAATGAATAAATAGTACAAAATATATTTTTAAATAGAGAATATGCTGATTCACTACAAACTGGGTGTGTACAGTTTTTTTTCAGTATTATTTGTATGCACTATTTATTTTATATTTGTTACAATGCTTTATGGAAATCTGTATAATCTTTTAAAGAATAAATTCAGTTTTGTCAAAGTCTGTCTGTCTTAATTTGGAAAGGCATAAATAAAGTTCATTAAAATTGAGCATTTTGCAGGTACTGACTCTGGGCCTTTCACATCTGGGACCTGGCCTTGAATTAAATCCAAGACAGCTGAGGAGAGCTCCTTGTTTTAAGAGTCCCGTGAGCAATGTTTCGGGGGGGAGTTCTTAACAGACGCAGGCTTGCAGCCCAAAACAGCTCTAATTTGGCTGTAACTGGCAAGATATTCAGAGATCACATGGAATGGTTGCTGTGTGCACTATTGGATTGAGTTGTGACAAAGTGTCCAATAACACTCGTGGAAGCGCTTGATGTTGACTGTGTAAACACCGTAAGAAATTGCTCTTTCCTGGCGAAGCATTTCCCTGCAGTGCCATTGACAATGAATACTGTTCAGGGAAGGAGGTACATTTCTGTATTCTTATGGCACATGCATGTTCCCATGGTACGACGGCATTTAAGATGGCTGCCAAGAACCATTTGTAAACAGGTCCAGGTATCTTTGGTCTCATGGTCCATGAATCTCAGTTTCCAGGGCGTTGTCAGGGCATCCATGGATGTTGTCACTTACAATCAAGATTGAGCTGAAATTCTGTGTTAATGTTCAACCCCATGTAGGAAACTTGCAGGTTTGGATTTGAGAGATGTTAAGTACTAAGTGAATCAGGCCTCACCGTTTCAAAATAATCAGCCTAGAGCCACTCCCCTGTCATCTTCCACCCCACCCTGAATTCACTTCACAGAGACTCAGAAGGTTATCAATTTCTACCTAAATCCAAATTAAGTTAAGGGTCAATATTGACACAGAGCTATTTCTGGCCGAGAAACAGCCAGATTTCATCCATCCTGGGAATGGCAACATGTGATTGTGAAGTTCTTAACTCATCCAAAATGTAATTATCTGAAACAAACACATTTACTTTCAACTGATAAAACACTAATGGCTATGGGTGGCGGGTGAAATCTTGCCCCATGATCCAATTATTTAACGTGGCTGGGTCATTCGCGGTTCCTTCCTGTGAAAGGATAGGCTGTACCTGGCTTTGGAGTGATGTGTCCCTAAAACACACTCATTCTCCGCATGCACGCACAATATTCCAACTCGTCATAATGTTGGCCTTGAGTGTAGCCTCTTTATGGCAGCTCTCCCTTTGAGGTTATTTTTCTTTATTCTTTCATGGGATGTGGGCATGGTGGCAAGACCAGCACCGACCTTGAACTCAGTGGTGTATTAGGTCCATTTCAGAGGGCCATTAGATGTCAACCACATGGCAGTGGGTGTGGAATCATGCATAGTCCAGACGAGGTAAGGATGGCAGATTTACTTCCCTCGAGGACATTTGTGAACTGTTTGCATTTTACAATAATTGATAATAGTTTCATGGTCACTGTCACTGAGACTTGCCTTATAATTAATTCCAGACATGTATAAAATCCTGGAACTTCGTTTCCAATGGCATGTGGGTGTTCCTACGCTACATGAATTGCAGCAGTTCAAGATGGCAGCGCACCACCATCTTCTTGAGGACTAGGCAGTAACGGCTGATCTAGCCAGTGACACCCATATCCCATGAATGAATAAAAAGAATCTTTAAATTCCATCCAGTCTCCCTGGTGAGATTTGAACCAATATTACCAGAGCATTCTGAAACATGTATTCCATTTTTAAAATTGTTCACAACCTTCCAGCTGTGTAATTCTTTGTTCAGTTTTAATGTTGTATGTTTAAAATGAGAATTAATATTATTAATGTTATTAGAATTTCTAATTTTCAGTAGAATTTCTACAGATTCTTCCTCGAATCCTGTCTTTATTGTTTTCAATAATCGTTTATTCAATGTTTCATAATTGTGAACCGACTGAACAAATGCCTGAGCCAGCACATAACACAACAAGAAAACTGCTAAAAACTAAATAAAACCCACCGAATAAAGATTGCCCACAAGTATTTTGTACTTTTCGGGTGAGATTCAGACTGTGTTTATAAAGTGTACAAACTTCACACTGTCATCTAAATCCTACACTAAGATTATTTATATCTCTTCACTTCTAGATCTCCAGTTGTTTGTCTTTTGTAAAGTTCATTTGAGCTGCAGATGATCTAGTCATCAAGAGCCAGTTGCTTCATCTACAGTGGCGTCAGAACATGGTTGAAATTTAGGATTGTTGACCATGTTCGCATTCATCCTCCGTATTCAGATTCACAGCTGGGGATATCTGTTGACAGTCTGGGACGTCAGATCATAAGAAATAGGACTGGAGTAGGTCATTCGGCCCATTGAGCCATCTCTCTCAGCTGATATGATTGTAGACTTTGGGCTGTCTGTCATAGCTGATATTATTGTGGCCTTAACTCTTCTTTCCTTCCTCTCCCCCTAACCCTGACTCCCTCATTGAGCAAAAATCTGTCTAATCAATGACCTAGCCTCCACTGCTGTAAGTGCAAGAGAATTCCAAAGAGTAACAACCTTTAGAGAAGAAATACCACCTCATCGCTACCTTCAATAGGAGAACCTCTCAATGTCTTCATAGTTCTATATTTCCCCATGAGGGGAAACATCCACTCAGTATCCATCCAGTCAAATCCTCTCCAAATCTTTTATGGTTTAATAAGAACTCATGCTCATTCGAGTTTAGAAACATATGTCCAAACTGTAGAACCTTTCCTCGTAAGATAAGCCCTTTTTTTCAAGGAATCTGCCGAGTGAATGTCCTCTGAAATGATTGGGATTGTTTTCACAGTTGGAATCCATATTGCTGGGTGACTCCATGTTGACAGGTTCAATATATATCAGCAGCTGGGGTCAGTACTGACCGTTGTAAAATTGGACAAGTGTAAATCAAGTGTACAATCCTCCCATTTTGCCTTGGGAAGTTGAATTTTATTCACTGTGCATAAATGAGAGAGCATTAGGGTACAAGGAATGTCTTTCACTAAAACATATGCATTTGCATCCAAAGGTGATGACTACCATTTCATCTTTATTCAGCAGATGACTTTCCAGGACGGTCTGTATCATGCTGCTGGCCTCTGACATCTTGTGTCTCACTGTGGCCACTTGTCTGAGGGGTGTCACTGCATCATCTGATCAGTCTGTATCATCTCAAACCTCGGCACCATCTGTAACTCAACGCAACACCTGAAAACCCAACTCAGGTTAATTTAAATGGATGATCAACAGACAAAGTATACATTCTAATGTATTGTGTTACCAAACCTGTGACAATTTCTGATGACTGTTCGGCACCATTTATTCAACCTCATGACAGTTTTGAGGTGTGTGAAGACCTGGGATATTTTAGCATATCCTTCCCAGACTATTTCCTTTGTGACTCCAGTTCAAGGCTTTAAAATTTCTGTGACCCCCCCCCCCAGTGAGAACCGTAGGATTTGGGGATTGTGGCAGGGGTGGTATTACAGACAAACATATGGGTGTATGAATTAGGAGCAGGAATAGCTCATTCAGCCTCTGAAACTGCTCAACCATTCAATAAGACAATGGCTGATTTGATTACTCCAGATTTTTAACGACCCAATAATATTGCTTATTGAGAACCTATCTGCGTCCACCTTAAAAATATTCGAAGACTCTGTTTCCACCAGCTTTCAAAGATTCACAATGCTCTGAGAAAATGTTACTCCTCATTCAGTCTTAAATGAGGGACCCCCTGAAACGATGATCCCTAGTTCAAGATTGCCCCACAAGAGGAAGCATCCTTTCCACATCTATCCTGTCAAGATCCCTTAAGATCTTATATATTATGAATCAAATTAGCCTTCTAAACGCCAGTAGGTTTTTTAAAATTCATTTTGTGGGATGTGGGTATCACTGGCTGGGCCAGCATTTACTGCCTGTCCCTAGTTGACCTTGAGAAGGTGGAGGTGAGCTGCCTTCTTGAACCGCTGCAGTCCACCTGCTGTGGGTTGGCCCACAATGCCATTAGGGAGGGAATTCCAGGATTTTGACCCAGCAACTGTGAAGGAACACTGACATATTTCTAAGTCAGGATGGTGAGTGGTTTGGAGGGGAACTTGGAGGTGGTGGTGTTCCCATATATCTGCTGCCCTTGTCCTTCTAGATGGAAGTGGCGTGGGTTTGGGAGGTGCTGTCTGAGGATCTTTGGTGAATTTCTGCAGTGCATCTTGTAGATAGTACACACTGCTGCTACTGAGCGTCGGTGGTGGAGGGAGTGGATGTTTGTGAATGTGATACCAATCAAGTGGGCTGCTTTGTCCTGGATGGTATCAAGCTTCTTGACTGTTGTTGGGGCTGCACTCATCCAGGCAAGTGGGGAGTATTCCATCACACTCCTGACTTGTGCCTTGTAGATGGTGGACAGGCTTTGGGGAGTCAGGAGGTGAGTTACTCGCTGCAGTATTCCCAGCTTTTGACCTGCTCTTGTAGCCACTGCATTTATGTGTTGAGTCCAGTTGAGTTTCTGATCAATGATAACTCCCAGGAAGATTATAGTGGGGGATTCGGTGATGGTAACACCGTATGAAAGCGAACGTTGCCATAGTTCCAGAGAAAGACCATTGGTGGTGAGTTTAACTTGAGGGTCACCATATCTCAGGCAAGGAGTGAGGTTGAGAAGGTGATACTTTCACAGTTGTCTCAGTTAGTGCAGGAATTGAACTATTGCTGTTGGTGTCAGTCTGCATCACAAACCAGTCATCCAGAAACAAGCTCAGCCTGTCCAATCTTCTCCCATGAGACAAACCACCCATTCCATGTGTTAGTCTTATAAATCTGCTCTGTACCGGGGCTTTGGTGAGGCTGTTGGCTGAACAGTTCGTTTGTAATGCAGAGTGATGCCAACATTGTGGGTTCAATCCCATGCCAGCTGAGGCTACCATGAAGGACTCTCCTTCTCTACCTCTCCCCTTGCCTGACGCCAGGTTAACTTCAGTTAAACCACTACCAGTTATATCTCACTACCTTTCTCTAATGAGAGAGCAACAGCCCTCTGGGACTATAGGTCTGTACTGCTT